GCCACAGGCTCTCTGTGTGTTTTTACAGCTGTGTCAAGTTTTGGTTTCTGACTCTTGCCGACATTCAGGAGTGCTGAAGGAGCTCAGGCTAACAGGTCCCAAAACTTTGTAGCTGAGATTTAGATCTCAGCAATTTTAACAACCAGGTTTTGAAATAATACAAACTCCATTTGGAGTTGGAGCTGATGTAAATTAGTAGTTAAAATGCCTTACATTCTATCACTTTCAGCTCCAATGAACTTGTATATTTTAAGAGCAGATGGCATATTTTAAGAAACCGTCAATATCAATTCAGGAATATAGTATCCGTTTTCTGCATCAAGTGTTGGAATTGCTGCTAGATATGGAACCAAGTTGAAGAACTGCAGCTTTGTCTGTCAACAAGTTAAACTAATTGCATCCAACCAGCAATTTCATACAGGTGCTCTGTCACTTATACCACAATACGGGAATGTACCAATCGGAGTTAAATATTGACCTTTGATACCCTGCATGAGAGAAAAAGCAGGGAATGGAATTTCCTAACCTCCTAGGAGCTATGCAGATGATAACTTAAGGCCCTGAAAGTATTCAGTAAAGTTTCTTTTCATTTAACTTACTTCTGTGAAGGGCTCAGGTTCTGAAATTTGAAAGCATCAACAGAGGAACATGAATGTCATCTTCTTTTTATCTACTATTCTTATCTTGACATATTTAACTATCTTCTTTTGGAGGTAGAATATATACTGATTGCAGGACTAAATTACTTGAAAATAAATAGCTGTTACACATATTCCTCAATCAGCTCACAAACCTTTTGTCATTACCTCAGCTTGATTTTAAGAGAACCATTAGGGATAAATACATCAAGATTAATAAGTAGACCCTAACGCCTAGGGTAACTGCCCTTTACTTATTTATCACTTAAAACTCCTTGCAACTGCTAAAGCTGAGATGTGAGAAAGAGTTCAATCAGGGTGTATCTATCTGAAGGGGAGGAAAATAAGTGAAGAAGAGTGAACAAGCACGGAAAAAACAGGAACTGCCCATGCAGGGGCATGCATGAAGTGGTATGATAAGCTAGGATCACTAGCACTGAGGAAAAAAAAATAAAGCAATGATAAGGAGCAAGGGAACAACTAACCTCTTCAAACATCAATCCATAAATATTTTCATCTAACATACAATAAATACTACCAGAAGAGACTATAAAAGTTCATTGATCTTGACAAAATAATGACTGAAAGATTAGGAATAATTAAAAGATGAAAGAAAAAAAAAATCACTAAAAGATTATGAAAGCCCTATGCCTTCACAAACACTATGGGGAAGAGAACAGTCCTCGTTTCCAAGTTTACAATCTAAGAGAGTTCACTTTGCTTTCTTACACACCCTTAGTGCCTGGTCTAGTTAGCTGTTACCTCAAGAGTTCACGTTCTCCCACAAGGAGTCTCATTAAAATCAATGGGCCTCTGTGCAGCTAAACTATATTAAATATACACACAGATGTAACTGTTTTTGAGATCAAGCCTTTAAATATGTACATACTTCGTTTAAGCATCAGCTATTGCCACATAAAAGCTATGTTAACACTAGGTTACAGTCAAAAGTATATTATAGGAATCATATTTTTGCAAACTAAGCATGCTCATTATTACATTGCATGATCATTATTACAAACAAAGATCGCAAAGTTTAAATTCAAGGATAAACTGAAAAGATGCCTAACCTGCCAAGACAGAGAATGAATGGCATTCAGACAACTTAAGATCTCCTTACAGTTGCATCATACAACAACCATACCATTATAATATGCATGTATTAACACTTGAGGCTCCAGATTGGATGAAAACGTAAGGACACTGGTGGGTTTTTTTACACTTTGGGGAATTTTGGGGACCAATGGAATAGTTTAGTTTGCAGAAATGGAAACTGTGCTTCCCTTTACAAAGAACTGACTTTAAGCACTATCTTTTTTTTCCCCCCTTAAAGTTTACTGAAAAAAATCTCAATACACTCAAAAGTGAGTTCTGCATGCTTGTAAGGGTAGCAAACAGCTAGCTTTGCTTCTCTTTGCTGTTTACTGCTGCTTCAAATCCTGCAAGGAAAACTACAAGATGGCACCTGAGGTTAGTTCATATAAGGCAAAATTAGGGTCAAAAGGAACAGAGAAATAATCTTCTATTCCAAAGCAGCATTCTCTCTGCACAAATGGAATCAAAAGATCCCTGAAGAGATTTTGGGGGGCTTTGGGAGGTGGGGTGTTTGGCTGGTTTTCTGTTTTTGTTTTTTGGGGTTTTTTTTGCTTTTCAAGAAGAGCAGCTTAGATTTACACCCAGAATGAAGATCTGAGCTGTCTCCAGTTCCTACAGAAAGCAGAATCAACCACTGATATGACATGGAAGGCACTGGATAAGGATAAAAATGCATAAGCTATTTCATTCAATGTTTTTCTCTGGTACTATCCTCTAATTTGTCTAGGCTCACTCACACTGATTTATGACATCTGACCAGGAAAGTGGAGATTCCCATATTGGAATTTATGTAAGCCCATTAATGTAGCAAGAAATTCTAAGATGCCTGAATTTAGATTTAATCCAAAAGAAGATTAAGAGGATGACTTGTCTTTAAAAGCAAGCTGTAACACAGTAAAGCTACAAAATTCCCAACAACTAGGAAAAAAAAAGCCATTGCTGATGGAATAACTGAAGTTACACCAGAATCAACACTTTCTAAAACCACATACAAAATAAAAGATCAGAGAGAAACTTCTTGAATTACTAAGGTGATTGCATACCAAATCCTAACTCACTGGTTAATTCCCTTGTTTGTCACCAAGAGGAATGCCCTAGCAGCCTCTCCCTTGGTTATCTGGCTGACAACTAAGACTTGGCAATATGCCATTATTGCTATATGAAAACTGTCACTTCTCTAACAGTCTAATTTATTTAATCACAGACAAACCTCTATTTAATCACTGAACAATTGTTTTCTTTTTCCACAACACAGGAGATCTTTCCCAGCCCTATTCTCCCACTAGAAGTGCCCTGAACATAGGCATCCTCAACTGTATCAGGTCTCCTGTCACCACTGGGATACTGAGGTTATGAAAACTATCTCCTACTTCCCTTGCTTCTGCACCGCCTTCTTTGAAGACTATCACCAAAACAAGGCTGCAGAAATGCAATTACAGACTTTAAGGCCAGAAATGACCATTACAACTAACTAGCATAACCCTCCTCAGAACAGGCCAAAAAGATCCAACCTTGTTCTTTCTTCAAACTTGCAAATGAACTGTCCTTGGAGCTACTCTCTCCTTACAACATTTCTTTTGTGATGAAGACAAGGTATACTAAGAATCCAAATTGAAAGACAAACTAATTACTAGTTATAGCCATGTACAGGAACTTAACATAAAACCCTTAGAATCACAGAATCATAGAATTGTTTAGGTTGGAAAAGACCTTTAAGATCATCAAATCCAACCGTTAACCTAGCACTACCAAGTCCATCACTAAACCATGTCCCTAAGCACCACATCTACTAGTCTTTTAAATCCCTCCAGGGATGGGGACTCACCCACTCCCCTGGGCAGCCTGTGCCAGTGCTTGACCAC